CCTGGCCTAGGGAGGATTTTATACTGGGTTCATTTTAAGGAATTCGAAATAACACAACTTTAAAATTTGGTTTAATTCGGTTTTACAGGGGGGGATTGTATATATGCCTTTGTTTTAAATATGTTGTGAGCCGCCCTGAGTCCCGTTGGGAGAAGGGCGGGATATAAATTGAATTAAATAAATAAATAAATAAATAAATCAGCTTTTCCATTATAACTGGTAAAGGAAAAGGTCCTTTTGGCAGTCTTCCTATTGCTTTTTTAATCACTCTCTTCCATTTATATTCCATAGATGGAACAAGAAGCTGAAAGACGTCGGCAGCCACAGACCAAACAGGAACCAGAATCTGAGGAAGAGGAGGAGGAGAAGCAAGAAAAGGAGGAAAAGCGGGAAGAACCCGAAGAAGAGGAGGAGGAGCCAGAGCAAAAGCCCTGCCTTAAACCAACACTGCGGCCTATCAGTTCGGCTCCATCTGTTTCGTCGGCAAGCGGCAACGCAACTCCCAATACTCCTGGGGATGAATCTCCCTGTGGCATCATCATCCCACACGAAAACTCTCCTGATCAGCAGCAGCCAGAGGAATACAGGCCTAAAATAGGACTGAGCCTCAAATTGGGTAAGATTTTTGTTTCTGAAGCTTGGCATCCTCCTAAAAATGGGGAAAAAACTGAAAAATATAAAGCTTCTCTTAAGTGTTGCCATGACTCCTGCTTCCCCCTCTCCTTCGTAAAAAAAATTATTCATGCCCTTTTGCTTTTAATTATGCCATCTTTACCTTGATTCTGACAAAATCCTGAGAGGAATTGGTATTACATGAGAGAGAAATATTTTCTTTTGTATTATTATACAGGTGCCTGCAATAGTCCCAACCAGCCTAATGCTGTGAAAAGAAAAAAACTCACTGTTGACAGTGTCTTCAATAAATTTGAAGATGAAGACAGTGATGACATGCCCCGAAAAAGAAAACTGGTACCTCTAGATTATGGCGATGAAGACAAAGGTTCCTCCAAAGGCAACGTGAACACTGAAGAGAAGCGCAAACACATTAAGAGTTTAATTGAGAAAATTCCTACAGCCAAACCAGAGCTATTTGCTTATCCTCTTGACTGGTCTATTGTGGATTCAGTGAGTATTTTGACCAGCATCCCCCTCCCCATTAATATAATAATCAAAATGCTCATTGCAACAGTTTGTCATGTCTCATTTGGGCCGTCTCCAGGCAAATATCTGATCACCCCCAGGGAAGGCCATACTCTGTTTCCAGGGTACAGGATATAAAATGAGGGGTCCGTGGTGCTCTCTGAGCTTGACTGTTTTCTTGCAGACATTTCATTATGTGATGTTACCTAGTGCAGGGCTTTTCAACCTTTTCACCCATTGTACCACTTTTAGGATATAGCAACATCCGAGTGCCACCAGTTGCCTAGCAAGGTGTCAAAAACTTGATGACCCCCCCCCCAAAAAAGGAAAAAAGTGATAAAGTACAGGTACTCCTCGACTTACAACAGTTCGCTTAGTGACTGTTCGAAGTTACAATGGCACTGAAAAAAGTGCCCCCCAAGCCACAGCCGAGCAAGACACCTGCCTGCCCACCCGGTGGCGCTCTTCCTCCTGTCCAAGGTTTTCATTGTGAGCATTTCTGTTGAGGATTGGCAACAGGAGTGGGGTGGGGGGGTGTTTGGTTTTTATTCCCCCCGTCTGCTGGGTGGTTGCAGCAGGTTTTGGTCACTTCACAAGACCCTGGGACACTGTGACCGTCATAAATATGAATCAGTTGCCAAGCATCTGAATGTAAATCACAAGACCCTGGAGATGCTGCAACATTCCAGCTGATCGGCGCTTCTTCTGGGCTCAGCAGAAGCGCCAGGATCTGTGCCAAGCTCCAGCTAGAGCCTGGCGCTGATCCTGGCGCTTCCGCTGAGCCCTGACAGCCCTGCAGCTCCAGCCGTCTCTCGCTCAGGCTTGTGTGGTGCTGCCACCGGTTCAGCTCATTCCCCTCCCCCGCTACCACTTTTCTAGGATGGTCGCGTACCACCTGCCAGGTGCCAATGTACCACAGGTGGTACCCCATACCACTGGTTGAAAAGCCCTGACCTAGTGCACATGATGTTATCTAGAAATGATAATCATAATGAATATAATCTTAAGGATCTTGATCTGTTTCACCAAGATAAGTAAATCAGGGTTTCACAATATACAAACAGGGAAGCAGTGTCAACATTTGGATACCTCCTGGTGACTTGATATAGTTGTGTGTGAGTCTGTTAAATATGGGGGGGGGTGTTTCTATGTTAGTCACTGACTCATTTTTTTATTGTAGTGGTACATAGTATGCTTAATGAATGACATTTAAAAGTAGAACAATGTAAAAAAAAAAGAAAAATACGAAGTGGCTTGAAGATAGACATAAACAAAAAAAATCCATCCAACAGGGACTCCATCCTCCTTCTTTCCCAAAGCCTGGGAGAATAGTCAGGTTTTAAGTGATTTCCTGAACATTCTCAGAGTGAAGGCCATTCAGAACTCTGGGGGACCATTCCAGAGGGCCGACACCTTGACAGAAAAAAAAATACATTTTAATTTAAAGTTTAAATTAAAGATTGCATTCCTATTTGAAGACCTTACTCCATTTAAAAGTTCTATTAGTGTATGTATGACTCTCAAAAGAATAAAAGTAACTCATAGTGGTATAGAAAAATATATTTTAAAAAACCTGTGTTTATTCTAGACATTAATGGAAAGGCGAATTAGACCATGGATTAACAAGAAAATAATAGAATATATTGGTGAAGAAGAAGCTACGTTAGTTGATTTTGTTTGCTCAAAGGTAAGCTTATTTTTCTAGACATGTAAAGTTGTGTGT